TTGGATTCTCTATCGATTTGAGAAATCTGAATTATTGAACATAATTCACACAACTTCAAACTTACCACCCAAGAGGAACTAAATCGTTTAGACTCCATTGTTGGTGGTAACGCAGCAATCTCTTCCTTCTCATGTACCATTCTTGAGGCTTTTTTTGAGGTAGCGGATTTATTTTCCTACTTCTCTCCTATAAACCTTCCTCTTGAAAAATTTCTTTAATATTCATCGGATTAAGGTCGACTCCTATTTTAAATATCCTATACCCCTTGGCGTTTATGAAAATGGGGTCAAAGTTCTGATTGAAAACATTGTAAACCATAAGTTCAATAAAATGGCTTGGATTCAAGCTTATGGACCTACCAAGAATGGTGGATTAGGCATCAGATATCTTTCCGATCTTACCTTAACTGCTTTCAAACTAGTTATTTACTAAAGAAAATATAGTAAACTCCCATTTTATAAAACTTGATCCTTCCTTTGATGGTGCTATTGTCGATTAGAAATCTCAAATTACTGCTGATCACCCTCTTCCAGAAACAAATAGGCAGAAAGGTTGGGATAGGCCTATAATTGTAAGCTGCGTTAAATCACTCCTTTCGAAAATGCAATTATCTGACAATCAATTATTTTCTTCGCTGCTTAATGGATCTGGTTATTAGTTTCTTGAAACTATTCTCCAGTTAACCTAGTTATAAATTAACCAATATGAGCTCACTCACGCCATTGGTATTCGTTTAAACTGTTTAATAACCTAACAAGAGTAATGGAATACGTAGCCTTTATTGTCGTACTTGTAAAGGTCGAATTGTTAGGGATTATGTAACTCGATCATCTTAAGAGCTTTGAGATAAGCTCAAATTCCATCTATTCTTGATGGAAACGTCCATATGAGATTTCCCAAATTTCTTAACTCTTTAACGTCTCACGATTTGTTTTGACATCATATAATATAGTTATATATTTTAAATTTATAAAAGCTTATAGATTTAATTTAACATCATATGATATAAATATAATAAAAATACTTTCGTATTTTATTAAAATTATTAACGCATTATATTTTCATAATTTATCTTTACCTTTTTACCGAATTATATGATTTTATTCTAAATTTTTTATTCATTATTAAAGGTAAGAGTATAATATTATAAATAATTATTTTATTAAAAATGAATATGCTCTTTTTTATATCAACTTAAAGTGTATGATGTCAAAATAAGTCATAGACATTTCGATCGATGAATCAGACAATGAAGAATATATTTTACACAATCTTTAAGATAATTCTCCTACAACTTCATCAACTCCGACATATAATAATCTTCAAGTCGAGATAGAAGATACAGAAAATAATGATAATATTTTCATCCAAAATAATATGAAATGCAGAGCAGGTGATATCCATCAATTGGACACAAATTATACTAATAAATTTTCCACTTCAACCAATATATTAACTCCATATCAATACTTTAAATTATTTATTTCAGATAATATACTAAATAATATATGTGAACAAAGTAATTTATACAGTTTTCAGTAAATAAATAGATCGCTAAATCTTGATATAAATGAATTGGGACAATTTTTAGGCATACACCTTTTTACTTCTTTAGCTAGAGTTCCTTCGTATAGACAATATTGGTCTATGAAATTGGCGTTTCCTCAGGTTACGGAAACTATGTTCGTAGCAGGTTTCAAATATTGCGAAAATATTTACATTTTAACGATAATTCTCAACTTATCCAAAGAAATCAAGATGAATATGATAAATGTTTTAAAATTATACCCTTTATTTCAGGGATTCAAAACAATATGCGAAAATTAGAAATGAAGGAAAGAATGTGTTGATAAAATAATCATCCCGTTCAAAGGTTTAAAACAATATATAAAATTGGAGCTTCATAAATGGGGCATCAAAGTTTTTGCATTAATCAGATCCGGTATATGATTTTAAGATTTATGCGGGAAAGCAAACTAATCCAACACCATCTGAATTATGGATAAGTCGTGATATAGTCCTCCAATTGACAAAAAATTTCCCGAAATATCAAAATCATAAACTCTTTTGCGATAACTACTTTTCTTCAATAGCATTGGCTAAAAAATTAAAAGAAATCGGTATATTTATGGTTGCGACTACTAGAAGCAATCGGATAAAAGATTGCAAGTTAAAATGCGATAGAGACTTTTAAAAAAAGAATGTCGCGGGAGCTATGTATATAAAGTTGATAAGAAAGAAAATATAATTGTCAAATGGTATGACAATAAGTTTGTGCCGTCATTTCATCCTTTGTTGGTGTTCATCCAATTGAAAATGTAAAAAGATGATCATTAAATAGCAAAGAATATATTGAAGTACCAAAACCAAATATATTAAAAATATATAATGAAGGTATGGGAGGAGTTAATTTACATGATATGCTTGTTGAATGCTATCGAGAAGGTATTAAAGGTAAAAGGTTCTACTGAGAATAATTTTTCATCTCATTAATATGTGTGTAGTAAATCCATGGCTTTTGTATAGGCGGCAAATATGCCTTGAAAAAGAGATTAAATTCATGAAACTTATCAAATTTAAAACACATATTGTCATCGCATTGTTATTGGCAGGCAAAATTAGTAAAAGAAAATCAGAGAGATCTTTGAATGCCGATAATTAAAAAAAAATTCTCTTATAATGGCTCCTATATCTGATATCATATATGACAACATTGATCGGACGGATGCCTGCGAAACGAGGCAAAGATGCAAGTTATGCATATAGGCATACTTTAGAACAAAATGTGCAAAATGTAATATATATTTATGCTTTAATCAATATAGAAATTGTTTTCGAGATTTTCATAATAAATAGATATTTGTATTTCTTTGTATTACAATATGCGTCTTGATGTCAATCATCATTTTTTTTTACTTGTGTATTTAAAAATAAAGATGGAAAAAATTTTAGGCATCTATGGAATGTATAAATAAATAATTTATAAAAATAATATTGAAAATTGGGTGTCAAATGGTTAAAAAAGATGACAATTCCTGGCCAGAGATTATGTATTGGCTCCCTCCAATCAAGTTCTTAACATCGAGAAAAGGAGCAATTAAAAATATCAAAAAATTCAGAAATTTCACAAGATTACACATTCGTTCCGATTGCACTACTTTAACAACCTTCGCGCGCTTTATGATATTTAAAGAACTTCTCCCATTCGTATACTCTCGGATGAACCTCGTGAAAGCCTTTTCTCGAGGTAAAGGCTAACAATTGCTATTCATAAGGCTAATTACATTAGTTTCATGGGTAGCCTCATCCTACAAAATAATTATTTATAACGATCTGTCAATAATGATGGGTGAATCAGAATTTTATCCTTTGTTAATTATGGAAGATTTTCCTATCTTATAATAAGCGTTTATACTAGACTTGGCGTTTATCGGTTTTCTACATATTTATATAAAGACAGAAAATATAAAAAAAATTATAATATTAAAAACTTTCCCAAAATAGGCATCAGGTATTTCCAAACTTAAAATGTAGGATTTTTAAGCATGAGTCTAGTATTTGCCCAAATCAAATAATCTAATACTTGAATTTCTCTTCTCTGAATCTTCAGTGATATTTTTATATTTCCTATATTCTTGTTTCTTTTCCTAATGCATTTTTTTAAAAACTATCATCTATATTTGGGGGTGTTTTGGATTAAGATAACCATTCATTAAAGATTATTTCTATTATATTTTTACAGAATTTATATAGGAAAACATTTTGCAGCCAGAGTATACACTGTATTGTCATCCAAAAGCTTGTTTAAAAAAGGTAGAGTAAAACTATTACAATTGCTCAAAGATAAAAAATCTTCAATATCTGAAAATTTTTATTACGTTTTTTTGAGAATGTTAAATTACCTATAATTCCAAATTATTCTTGTAAAAAAAATCTTTATGATGAAATCAAGCAGTGTATAAAATATAATATAGGTACATATAATAGTACTTTTAAACTCTAAAAAGGTGTAATTGAGAATGCTCAAACAGGATTAAACTTTCAAAAGCCAAGAATTATATTTAGCATCTCTAGAAGATATCTTGTCTAGATATTGTAGAGATGGTAATAAAAAACCTTTGAGACAGCTTAAATATTCCACCAGATGGTTTTTCAGCAAAAAAATTTCATGATTTAATAACATTTAACAACCAGCAGAGCCTTTGCATAATATCTTCAATAATAATAGTTGATAACTAATAAAATTTTAAAAAAATCATAATGTAAAAATATAATCAGAATACTGATTTAAAATTATAAGCAATAAATTTTATTAAATTATAACCTCTTGTATGTTCTTTAATATATAGTTTGTATAAATAGAATATATATAAAAAAATTAATATAGATGTAATATTTATCAATATCTTTGATAATTTATTATTCATAAATTTTATACTATTTATTACAAAATATGATATGAAGATATAATTCGTACTTCCCACCTTTGCTTCTTTTAAAACTATATAATTATGACAATCAAAGGCTAAGGAAAAATAGGAGGAAATATAACATTAATATTTTATGGGCACTACCTCTTTATACTAGGAAGTTTAAAGGTAGTGCCCATTAAGACTAAGATAATGGTAAACAGACTTAGGTGTTATAGGCACACAATCAGAAGGCCTATGAACTACATAGGAAATAAGGTTGAGAGTTTGGAAGTGATGAAAGAGGAAGGCCAAAACTTCAATGAGACCATAAAGTTAGAGCCAATATGTAGAAGTATAAATTAGATAAAAGAGATAGTATGAATAACATAAAGTGGGGAGAGATAATGAAGGAGCTTACCACTATAAAAAGTGAAAGCTAAAGAGAGAAAAAAAATGTGTCCATTACTCTTTTTTTGAATAAGTTTGATTAATCTAAGCAAAAGTATTTCCCAACCCAACCTTAAAATTTTTAATACAAATAATCATGATAAAAATATTTCATGTTTTCACATAATTATATATAGTACCTTATATCATGGTCTCTTCTAAAATTATCATGGAATACTTTTTCTAAATTAGAAGACCACCATACTGTTTGAATAACTTTTTTATTAGTTTTAGGCACTAAGGTTGGAAACTTAACAGAGCTATGATTAAAAACAGAATGACTATGATCATGTGAGTACCTAAATATTAAATATTGTACATAATCATTATTAATTTTAACTTTGATTCTGAAATATTAAAAAATGTTTTGATTTTATCTGAATCTAGATATATAGATGAATCTAAATCTTCTAATTTAGTTGCTGTTTTTGGTATACCTGTAGATTCGGCATTATCATGATAATTTGCTGCTTGTTGTGCCAATAACTCTAATGCTGCACGTTTTTTAACAAAACTCATACCTTCAAAAACTATTAGAATTGTTTATTAAATAAAAATATACCAAGTTTGCCATAGATTTCCTTTGCCTTTTCCAGCCAATTTACATTTATTTGTTGATAAAATGCATCATCATAAAGTTTTTGTATTTCTTTGTACTTTAATCCATTCTCCATTAATTTTTCTATTTCTTCACCTAACAATTTTGCCCAACGCTTAACCAATAGAGAGGATAGTGCGTTAATATAAACAATATTAATTAAAAGGCAAATTATAATTGTTAAGATCTTATAAATATGCATTTTATATGAGTTTTAAAAAAAATATCATCTGCTAAAAATCGATTTCATAATATCAGAACTTCTTCGATGATATTATCATCTTGCCATCTGGCATGTCAGAAAGTAATCTGAATAGATGTCAATTTAGATGGGGTATTATATACGTGATACGTGATAAAAGCGTTTTCGCCCTCTGGTTGTGGTTAACTAGAGGACGAATATTTCAAATTAGTTATTATTAATTAAGATATTTGTTTATTACTTTTTTTTATTTTAGACTTCCAACTTGAGTTGCAAATAGGAATTATATACTTGAGTCGACTAGAGGACAAATAGTTATACTTATATGAACGTGAGTCGACTAGAGGACGAATATTTCAAATTTTATTAATTAAGATATTTGTGATCTATTTTTTACATTTATTTACTGTAGACTTTCAACTCAAGACCATGAATACGATATATATAATTGAGTCGACTAGAGGACGAATATTTCATATTTGTTATTATTAATTAATTAATTTATTTGCTCTGTTTTTACACATTAGCTGTTTTAATTTTCCACCTATTAAAATAAGCTTAAAGTTTTAATGTAATGTGCAGATACACATGGTATGTGTACCTGGACCACCTGCTAAAACACAGTTTTTAGGTAGTAAGAAAGCAAATCTACTCAGATCTAACTGTATATCGTTATGAATCTCTCTAAAGTGAATGAAAAGTTCTTTAATAATACATAAAATTAGCCTTTTCTGCACTTGATATTTTCCTAGTTACATATAAAATTATTTTTGCCTGTATAAGTAATGTTGTTAATTGGTTGGTTGTGTAGAGCCCAGACCCGGGGTTTGGGTCTAAAATATCGACAAAACCAGCTCTGAGCACGAACCCCGAGCACAGACCCGGCGTTCAGACCTAAAGTCCAGATCTGGATAGATGGCACAAAGGTTTAGACATTATCGAAAACTCGATGCTTAGATAATTGTTTTCTGGTTAAAATATTGATTTAGCTGTTTTTAGAAATCTGCTCAAAAATAGCCGTTTAACAACATTAATAGAAATCCTGATCAAATTATTTAATAAATATATATTTTATTATATCATTGAAAACAAACTCCCTTTTTTGCTTAAAAATACAGGTAAAGCATTATAGGTAAACCGAATGTTAAAGACTCCATTTGGCGCCAATTTTTATTATTTTTTGATAGCCCTTTAGAGAATATTTTTACTTACAATATGATATATAATTAGTTTTTGAGATATAAGCATTTTAAAAATTTTACAGATTTGAGCCCCTATATCTCAAGAACCAGGTGTTATAGCGAGCTAAAATAAACGGCTTTCTCATTTATTTACCCTTCTAAATAATTCCAGAAAAAAAATGAAATAAAGGCGTGGATAAAATTTATTTTTAACTATTATATATAATTATTTTTACTTTTTGCAAAGTCCTGTCTGATACATTTTTTATATTTTATATTTATTTTATAAACAGACAAAGTTAGATCATGTTTTTTTTAAAATAATATTTTATTTTTTGTTTATTTACATAAAAATATAAAAAATTCTTTGAATCTCCTACAAAAATAAGAATCAAATCATATATTTACATAATTCTTGTTTTCGAATCGAATAATTATATTATTCGTATTAGTACGAATTAAATAATTCCTTATTCGTATCGGTTCGAATAATGAAAACATTATTGGATTTGATTCATCGAATATTCGATGCCAAAAATTAAATTCTTCAGAAATATATTCAAAAATGATATTAAAAATTAATAAGTGATTTATAGATGTTGAAAAAAAAAGTAAAAACTTTTCAAGGAACTTTTAAATACTTAAGAATCATGTCAAATACTTATGGGTTTGAAATCTGAATAATTTGAAATATTAACAAATAATTTGAAATATTTATTTACGAATAATTTATAATATTTATAAATTATTTCAAATAATAAGAATAATTCGATCGAATAATAAATAGATAAAAAAAAAATATTCCACAGATAATATATTTTCTTTATTCGATTCGAATAAAATAATTTTTTTATTCATAAAATACGAATCTTATGAAATAAAATCGTAGAGTGAATAATTCGTTTTAGGTATAATTTTATTTTTTGTTAAATTTTACTCAATTTTCTACAAAAGAAAATGATGAAATTAAAGTTCGAATCAAATATACTAATACAGAATTTTATTTAAAAAAAATAGTTTCTCGTTTTAGAATCATAAAGACCCCAATATTGTCGTAATTTTTAATAGGATCAAAACTATCCGGGATCATCGCGGGTTTTTAAGGGATCCCTTTATACAATGAATTATTTTAATAAAAATATAATCAATTATCTTCATTTGAACATTATGATATTTTTTTTGATTTTATACAATTTGTGAAACCTTAGATAAAAGCTGTTAAAAAGCTTATAATCTTATATTAAATAGATTTTTACCACATATCTTCAAATTATTATATAAATTACACATTATTTATTTATTTTGTAAACATAAAATAACTTTTTAACATAATACAATAAATAAGATACAATATAGATAATAAATAAAATATTTTATATTATATCTCTAACATCCCAGTTATTAAGGCACATACAATATTTAACGGTTGTCCCCGACATCCTATTTCGTTTCTTCGTTAAAAAATCAACGGCCTTGCTAAAGACTCTTTCACTAGGAACGCTTGTTGTTTGTTGTGCGAAGAAATCTTTAGCTATGAGCGACAACGTTGGGTAAAAATCACTATTTTTGGCCCACCAATCAAGTATATTGGTTGAAGCTGGTGCAACCGGTTCTTTGATGTAATCTATAAATTCATCTCTACTGAGATCTAGATATTCATAAGCCTCCCTAAAAATTATAAATTAATATATCAAACATTTATAATTACTTTCTCATTTCGTTATGCATGCAAACCGAATAGGGGTGTGTTTCCATATCATCTTTTGAGAAGTCATAAACATTCGCTTTTTGCGATGGCCAACCATAGCTTTTATATAATGATTTAAATTTTTCATTATAATCCTCCTTTGCTATAAATTTAGGCATATATTTTAATTTAGTTTTAGGATCTAATAGTGTAGATACAAAATTGCTAAATGAACTCATCAAATTTTTATATGTTGCACATTTTATCAACATTTTACTAGCCGCATTTTTAAGATCGCTATCGGGATGATTTTTCGAAGTTTCGTCTAAAATCTGCTCTATCTTTGTCATAAATAAAACTGAGGTTCCAATAGTAGAAGTATCTGACGATATTTCAAGTGTTATTTTATAAAAAGGTTTTAAAAAATTTTCAATTTCGTTTAAAGATCTCGCCTCACTATCATTTATATCGAAAGGCGCCATATATTTTTTCCCAAGGTCTTTAATTGCATCTAAATTCTATATAAATTAAATATATTATTATGCAATGTTATATCTCTAAAATTTCAAAATTGTAAAACTATTATCTTTGAATATTATTGAATAAAATAATTATATTATGGTTTAAAAGGTAGGGAAGACTGGGATTTGTAAAAAAATGGTTCGACTAGACCTAGTTCCCTTTATATATAGTCAAAATTTTGTAAAATTAATTACCATTGACCATATATCTTTTAGTAGAATGTAAAAGACATTATAAAAAAATTATATTATAATTTACTTTGTTCACTGTTGATAGCATTATATATTTTGAATTCCATCTGGTTATCACATCCAACGGAATCCTCGTTCCACCAGATAGCTGCATGTATTTTTGTAAAAGTTTGGGGGAAGAATGTAGTTTCTTTACAACGTCAGTTATTTTAATTAGCTTTTTGTCTAGGTATGAAAATCCCTCTTTTACTATCAAATTTATAACATGTGCTAAACATCGGTGGCTGTATACGCCTGTTTTATATTTTTCCTGATAAATTGTATTCATTTTTTCAACAGCTTTTATTACGTTTAGTGCATTATCATGCGTAATTGAGATAATTTTGTCCTGAATCTCAAAATCATCAAGAGATTCTAATAAACATTGTGATATATCCTCACCACTATGAGGATATGGTAACTCAATTAAATCTAAAAGGAAACTTTCCATTTTCCATTTTTTATTAATATAATGGCATGTTATTGCGCAAAACGATGACGAATTAATTGAGGTCCACATATCAGTGGTGATGGCTATCTTGCTATCAATATTTTTTAACTTAGTGATAAGATTTAATTTGGAACTTTTATATAGCTTTTCAATATATTTACAGGCCGTTTGACGAGTCCAAATTTTTTCATTTTTAAATATATAAGAAAATATTCCTCTGAAAAAATCACTATTCAGTGAATGGAAAGATATATTATTCTTTATTATATACCTGAGAATTGATTTGTTTAGATGTATGATCACCTCGGGTAAAAGTTTCTTTATGCCCACTAGATTTTTTGGCATTTCTGTCTTCTCAATCCGTATCATATCAGTATGATGTCTTTTTACATGATTTTTTAAATTCGCTGTTAAAATAAATGAATTTTTACTTTTCTTTATAAAATTAAAACATAATAGTTTTTAACCCTCAGTCGCACAAGTGGGAAAAAAATTAGGGGAGACCGAACAACGATAATTACTTTTTAACCCTTGAGCACAAAGATTTTAAATTTGGTGTGAAGATGCATTTTTATATCTAATTTCCTACCTATGTTCATCTGTTAAAAAACTTACCTGGTTTTATATATTTTGTCAAAAAACTATTTTTACCCAAAAAATATAAAACACATGGATGAGAAATCATGTGGGGCAAAATTGAAGATTATGATATTCCAGGAGTCTTAAAAAATGTATACCGAGGACAGTGACACCAAATAATATATTAAATGGATTCTCAGCTTGTGGCATATATCCTTTAAACCCAAATATATTTACAAATCAAGATTATATCTGCTATACTAATATTTCAAATGCTAGTTTAAATATTGAAATTGAAAATAATGAGGAAAATCATACAGTGAATAATATAGAACTTATGACTCAAATAATGACAGTAATTTATCTGTATTAATGATCGAAAATGTCATAAATGATATTGATGAACCCAATAATACCTATTCCGAAATTGTTCAACATTTCATCCGATAAAATGTCTAAAAAAAGAACTCAGAAATACTAACATCTACTCCTTTATTAAATAAAATTATTAATTCAGAAAAGAAAAAAGAAATCAATAAAGAATTGTTTATGTGTTATTTGCAATAAAAACTATAAAAATAGTCGCGAGGGCGATGAATGGTTAAAATGTACAATGTGCCTTGAATGTACACATTCTAAATGTGCTAATTATGATAAATACTTTACATGTAATATTATAGATATAGAGTTACACTTTTTTTTATCTTATAGATGAAGGATAGGATGGCTACAGGTAAATATGCACAATACCTATCGTTTTACCCCGGTCTCCCCTATCTAGCTCACATTGCCTAAAATTTTATATATAATATGAAAAAAATTCCAAAATTTAGGGGCTATTTATATTTTTCAGGGGACTAGAACCCATACTTATGCTACTGTTAAAGTGACTGAGGTCTACAATGTTCCACCACTTATGCAACAAAGGGTTTAATTTATGTATTAAGATACAAATATTTTGGGGAAAAAATGACGAAAATTTTTGTAAATTTATAGAGTACTATAAAATTTAAAATATTACTTGATGCGGTGTGTATACTGAATATTTTAAAATATTGTGCATCTTCTTTTTGTTTTTTTTGGTGATAATTCAAAAATCGTTTTTATATTAATGCAACTATTATTTTGAGATGTGAGGTAGTATTAGTAGATATATCTGACATTTGGCTTATATTTAACTCTTCTTCAGCCATAAAATCCTGGCTTAAGTCCGTCTACATGTATTTTAAATATACAAATAAACGGGAAAAATATATAATTTTACCTCCGAATCACGGTCTATCTCTATATCATCAGGCACGTCTTCATCACTTTGGTTATTTTCAGAATTTATCGTGTTAAATAAAAAATTCATATAAGAAGAATCCATATTTAAAAAATTTAAATTATTTAATAAAATTATATTTGTATATTTAAATAAAATAAAAATTATATTTAGAAGAAAATAAATAACCAATCCCTCCTTCCTCCGTCTCTCTCTCCCATTATTGTTATTATTCTTATTCTTAAGCTTATTTTTTTTGAAATATTATATTTCTTATTGTTATTTATTAGTTTTTTTAAAAAAAACACAAATCAATCTTAAAATTTACCCGCCAAAAAAATGAAATAGGTTTACCGTCTCATCCAAAAATTTTTTACAGACTTATCCTAGCCCACAATAGGAGTATCCAGGATTTTTCAAAGTTCAAAGTTAGCGGTGGGTTGTAGGGTAATAATTATTATATAGCAGCTTAAGTCAATTTTTAGCAGGCTAAAAAAAATCGGCTAAACCTAGTTTTTAGCCTAAAGCTATCACTTTGACCTTGGGATAATCCTTTGCTAACTGCTAGTGCCGGCTAGTTTCAGAAAAATGGGATCCCTAAAAACAGTTTCTGACGGAACTCACTACCTACCAGATGTCAATTAAATAACAACTTTTTTGTATATCTTTTTTATTAATTATTTATCAAACTGCAAAAAATTTTCATTGGGTTGTGTCCTAAATTATCAAAAATTAAATTCACAAACTTTCGAAACTTTATTGAAAATATATAAATAAGATAAGTCTATATTTTTAAACATAAAAATAAAAACATTTACAAAACATACTTGACAATTTTCTAAATTTTAATACTTAAACATACAATTTTAAAATTTTTCGAATTTTTTTTAAAAATTTTGGATTATAGCCTTTAAAACGAGTTTTATTTTGTAGTCACAAACTTTAAATAACAATATCCCATTAATTCACATATGTGAACCATCTTTAAAAACCAGCGAACACTGCTACAACTTATTAACCAAATATTTTTTTTAGTGAATGTATGGAAAAAATTAATAAATTTTTTTTAAAATTTCCCCTTTTCTTAACATTTAAAAAAAAATGATTAAATGGTGTCTTTTTTGTCCAAGAGTTAGTGTTGTTAAACAACTCAGCCGAGTCGACTTAACTACGACTCAAGTCGAGTTTTTAGTCAAAAAATCGACTCAAAACTCAAGTCGAGTTTTGAGTTGATAAGTCGACTTGTTTTTATGACTCGAGTTATGAACTTGAGTCGTGAACTCAAGTCGCGACTCGAGTTATGAACTTGAGTCGTGAACTCAAGTCGCGACTCGAGTTATGAACTTGAGTCGTGAACTCAAGTCGCGACTCGAGTTATGAACTTGAGTTGTGAACTCAAGTCGCGACTCGAGTTATGAACTTGAGTCGTGAACTCAAGTCGCGACTCGAGTTATGAACTTGAGTCGCGAACTTATGAACTTGAGTTATGAACTTGAGTCGCGACTCGAGTTATGAACTTAAGTTATGAACTTGATTCGTGAACTCAAGTCGCGACTCGAGTTATGAACTTGAATCGTGAACTTATGAACTTGAGTTATGAACTTGAGTCGTGAACTTAAGTCGCGACTTAAATTATGAACTTAAGTCGTGAATAAAAGTCGACTCAAGTTGTGAACTCATATCTATATACTTGAGTCGACTAGAGGACGAATAGTTTTATGAACTTGAGTCGACTAGAGGACGAATAGTTTTATGAACTTGAGTCGACTAGAGGACGAATAGTTTTATAAACTTAAGTAGACGACTAGAGGACGAATATTTCAAATTAATTATTATATAAGATATAATTTTTTTATTTTAGACTTCCTACTTGAGTCGTAAATAGATATACTTGTGTCAATTAGAGGACGAATAGTTATATAAATTTGATCGACTAGACTCTAATATATTTCAAATTAGTTATTTTTAATTACGATATTTTTGTTTTCTAAATTTAAAATTAGATAGTCGAGTAATCATGACTCCGTGTCGAAGTATCAATAACTCGAATCATTTTTACTACTTGAGTCGTGAACTCAATAAATAGGATAGGTTAATTTAAATTTTATGAAACTCTATTACTTATCATATAACTGTTATTTATTGGTTGGTTTTGTAGGGGCTTGGATCTTAAATTCGACTTAACTAGCTATGAGCACGAACCCCTAGCACAGATCAATATATCTTTAGTTGATTTTTCTTGACCTTATTAATATATATAAATATATGGTTATTAGAGGTATCAATCGCTAGCTAATTAGATCTATTGAATAGGTTGCAAACCATGTCTAGATGAGTGAAGCTATTTCTACGTAGGTCAGGAATTATTTTATCAGCACCAAATATTGATATGATAATGGGTGGGTATCAAATAAATATAGTTCTACCTTTATATGGTGTATATAATTTTGACCTGGGAGCGGGGTAAAAAATATGATCTCAAATTTGTTCGTGAAAAAAATTGACATGTCTATATCTATTTATTTAATTATTAAAAGATAAAAATATCTGCTAGATTACCAAAAATTAGGGTTTAATTTAGGTTCAGGATTTTTAAATTCTATATAACGTAAATTTTGATAACATGAACTTAATCGAAAAAATCAATTCCTATAAAATTATTGGAAATAAAAAAAGGTTGCTCGTAACATCAAAAACCGTTTGGAAAAACGTTATGTATGTAAATTGTTGTATTTATTATTACCTCTGATTGAAATTGAAATATAAAAGATTATAATCTTCAAGGATGAGGTAATAAGAGGCAAATTTTGAGGATTAAGATGTTTAATATTGATATATATTTTTTTAAAAAACTCATAGAATTTATGAACCCCAAACTATCTTCTTTTTTTTCCTGAAATAATGACCTGAATTTTAGTAATTTATCGATTTCTTCAAAACAGTAAGGGCTTGTCTATTAAAAAAAATTATAACTCAAATTTAGTAATTTATCGATTTCTTCAAAACAGTAAGGGCTTGTCTATTAAAAAAAATTATAACTCAAATTTAGTTCACTACGCTTTGAAATTTTTTCATTTTATTTAATTAAATCTTTATAAATCATGGTAAATAAAATTATACAATTACAATAAAAAAATCGAATAAAATATATTAAAAAATCGAATAAAATATATTAAAAAATCGAATAAAATCGAATAAAATATATAAAAATATCGTCTTGTTCATCTTCATTTGCCAAATCTTTTTCTTCCGGAAAGCTTAAAAATAAATATAGAATTAAATAATCATTAAATTTTACTAATTTTTTGGGGAGAGGGGAGAGAAGGTAAAAAAATTATTGTTTAAAGTTTAAAAAAATATTATTCGGACTAAATATATGTTAAAATGGTCTAAAAACACAATCACAACAAAGTATACATTAATATTTACATTTATTCCAAAAGATCTACGTCCCAATAACTCAGGCACAGGCATTGTTTTAGGGTTTGTGAAGCCATCCTGTTTCTTTTTTTGTCATACAATCAACTGCCCTGCTGAAAGTCCTCTCACTTGCAACACTTGTACTTTGTTGAGCTAAATAATCCCTAGCCATTAACGACAAAGTGGGATATGTTTCGGCGTTCTTTGCCCACCAATCCAATATATTTGTTGATGCAGGCGCAACGGGCTCCTTGAGATATTCCACGATTTCATCTCTCGTGGGATTTGGGTTATCAATAGCTTCTCTGAAAATAAATATAAAAATACAAGGTTAATTATATTTCTAAGTATTTATATTTACTTTCGCAGCTTATTATGAATAATAACTGAGTAAGGTTGCGAGTCAATATCTTCAGTAAACTCATAAGCCGTTGCTTGGTATGTTGACCAGGCATAAACTTTGTGAATTTCTTTGAATTCTTTGTCATATTTTTTATTTAATATGCATTTTGGCATATATTTTTGTTTTGTTTTAGGATCTAGAAAGCTAGATATGTAATTTGTTAGGGTACAAAAAAAGCCTTCGTATGCCTCACATTTAGTCAGCATCAATTTAGCTGCTTTTTTGATATCCTCATTATCATGTGAATTAGATGTTTCTTCTAAAAAATTCCCCATCGAAGCGACGAATAAAACCGCCGTCCCAATAGTTGTACTTTCCGATGAAACTTCACATGTAATCTGGAAAAATGGTTTAAGGAAGATTTCAATTTCCTTTAAATATTTTGCCTCATTGACATTTATGTAAAATTCATCTTTGGGAAGACATTCTTCCCCCAATCGTTTAATAAAATCTAAATTCTATAAAATAAAATATATTATAAAAATAACATTTAAGATATTGCTTAAATTACTTTATTTATAGTAGAAATCATAAGATACTTAGAATTCCACCTAGTGACCACGTCGAGTGGTAATCGAGTGCCACCCGAGATTTTGATATATCTTTGCATTAGCTTGGGAGAAAGGTGAAGTGATTTCACCAATTTATGAATTTTTTCTAATTTTGCATCAAAAATATTTAGTCCTTCTTTAACTATAATATTAATAACGTGAGCCAGGCATCTATGGCTATAAAATGGTATACTATATTTTTCCATGTAATGTTTAATGATTAAATCTGATGCACTAATCATATTTTTAGCATTATCATGCGTTAATGCTAAAAAAAAATTTTCAATCTCAAATGTTTCTATAGATTTTATTAAATAATAACATATATCTTGCCCACTGTGAGGGTGCGGCAATTCTATAAGATCTAGTAGATGGTTTTTTAATTTCCAATCTTTGGAAATATAATGTATTGTGATTGCACAATACGACAGGGAATTAATCCCTGTCCAAATATCAGTAGAGAGGGATATTTTTCCGTCTATATTTTTTAGTTTAGCTATAAGTTTGAATTTAGCATTTTCATATATAGAATGCAAATAAATTCTGGCAGTTTGTCTTAACCAGATTTTTTCACTTTTAAATATAAATTTAAAGATATCCTTGAATTCTTCCGAGTCAAATAGATTAAATGGTAGATTGTTTTTTATAATATATCTTAGTATAAGCTTATTCAATTGTTTGTTTTCCTCGGGTTGTAGTTTTCTGATACCCGATAAATGTTTGGGCATTAT